TGAGGAGGAGAGAGAGAGGTTTCTCTCGTTTTGGTGGGTCCTACCCTCTTATCACTGTCTGACATTTCAATTGACAGAGGTGACCTGATGAACTTAGAGCATTGCCCACTGTCAGTTGTCCCATGGTTGCAAGATAAATTTAATTTAGTTTTCTTTTTCTATAATTTTGACTTTCTTTCCTTTTTGTTTGGAAGATGGTTACCTTGGAAGGGTTTCTGTGTTTTGCAGATGGTATCTGAAGTATATCAGAAATCTTGCAGAAAAGACTGACATTGGAAGGCTGACCGCCCCTTCATTTCTCAAATTAGTAGAAGAGTCCATACGGTTTAATGGGGCATCTAATACCAATGGAAACACAAGTATGGAAATTTGGGATCAAGCAGATGGAATTTTGGAGGTATTTCATTTCTAATGAGTGAGTTATTACATTGCGTATGGAATGATAGAAAAAAGAGGCTACATTGCTTATGGACTTTCTCGAAAAAAGAGGGGATTACAGAAATCTTTATTTATTCTTCCAACTCTGTGTGTGTGTGTGTGTAGCATACCATTTACATGACATGGTTTCTATGAATCCTAGGACTCATATGTAGATATGCTGTCCCCTTTTTATGATCTATTTTTTAGATGACTTTTGGACCTGATTTTTTTAGAAATATATAATCTCTAATATGAAAGAAATTAACCTTTAAAAGCTAATAACGAAAATTTTGTGGAGAAAGTTTTTGGACTGTTTTTTTTTTTGGGAGGGACCACAACTTTCATCCATTTTAAAGATGGATGTTTCATACCTCAGGGGACGAAAATTTAGAGATCCCCGACGCATAAACCATTTCCCCCTATTTATATTATACACTCATTGGGCCTTAACCCTGTTACTGTCTGGCCATGCTTACTAGTATCATATTATGATTGCATTTTCATGATTATGCTTATCTGCTCTTGTATTTCACTAAAAATGTCTGATTTCAATTGCAGAAAGTATCGTCTGCCTTTTCAGATTCCTCGAAGTTCAGCTTCTTCCTTGCAATGGATCCCAGCAATGCAATGTCTTTAAATGCAGCACTGCGTTATTGGGGGTGTGCCATCCAAGCTGGAGCACACATTTCTGGTGCATTTAGCTTTGTCCACCCAACTTCTCCAAAACCCACTAAAGACATACAAGAAAAACTTTTGCCGTTGACCTTAGCATATCTTCCATTTATTTCTACAGATTCTTCTATAGAGAGTGATTCAACAGTCAGTTTTTTAACTGATGATGTTAGGCGACTGCTCTGTGAATCTAGCAGCAATTTGGAGCCATTGGTTCAGTTTGATGAGGGCAAGAAATCAGTGTCACTTTTCATGCCTGGGTTCGATAAGTCAGAAATCAAGCTATACCAAGTATGCTACTTTTGCTGTTGTTTTTTTAGATAGTTCTTCTTAGCCACTTTGACTTTGGGAGCTAATACGGACTTCACCTACCTACTTATGCCGTTCCTGTAGAAAGGATAACATACCATATAGCTAAATGTTGTGTCATGCAACAGCAAAAGCATAAGTAGAACCCTTGTGATTGTAGTTCTATACAATGTTTGGAAATGTTAGCTATCCAGTGTGAGAGTAAAAGCATGGCATGTTATATTAATGCTCGTAGGGTAATAGTTCTTTCATTTAGTGAGTCCTTTTAAATTTGGGACAAACACAAGAGTTTACCTTGATTAAAAGAAAGTAGTGGAAAACTGTTATAAAGCCTATTGGATTCCTGCATGCAATTTGAAACTCGGGATTTGGATTGAATGCGTGCAAATAAAGTAATGCATTGGACCCAACTTTTGTGCCATTTTACATTAGTATACTAGACTTGTAGGATGCAAGTTTATTACATCTGATGCTTGCTTTTTACAATTCTAACCATATGTGCGTACTACTCAGGCTTAATGTTGACTGTCCGAGTAGTAATACAAAAGCAGTAAATGCTTCTAATCAACCCTATAAAAACTTTGCCTTAGGTTAGTGTGGGGTGTAAGAGAGAGATTCGCAAGGAGTTTACTCGTCTTAAAAGTGCATTGGATTGCTTATCTCGCATCTTTAGAAGAGTGACCAATTCTTTAGTGGTGCCACTGCAGGTGCCACACACGCATTGTCCATCTTACTAATTGGTTTGTGTTATGTATTTATTGACCGAGTCCACATCACAGTGATGACTTGTAATTATATTCAGAAATTACTTGGGTAGCTTAAAATGACCTGAGTGTTTTGATTAAATAAAATTTTAGAAAATGTCAGAACTCTTTATAAAACTCGTCAAACCAGGCAAGATGCCCAAAAATTTCATTAAGTCCAATAAGTTGTTTAATTCAAAAGAAAATTAATTCAGGAATCTTAATCACTGCTCAGGAGGTGTTAAAGAACTGTTAATTTTTTAGAATAGGTACCATTGTTTGTGTTTTTATTTCATTTGACCGTTGTGCTGGTAATCATTGGAAAGTTGCTCTGCTGAATACTGTTTCCATGATCTTCATGTAGATCTTTTGTTGCTTCGTATTCCCATAGATTTGATCTTGTTTGAGGATCCTACTTGTCATATGTATTTGTTGTGTAAATCTATTGTCAAATGTATAATTATAGAAAGAAATTAGTTTCAAGAAGTGGCGAGAATAAGATTGTTGATTGGCTGAATTTGTAAAATGCAGTATCGAGGAGGGTCCGAATTATTAGTTGAAGCTGGGGATCAAAGGAGGGTCGTGAGATTGCCTTCAAAAATCCAAGGTAAGGTCGCCCGTGCCAAGTTCAACCAAAGGAAACTTATCGTCACCATGCGATGAAACCCCAGGAAATCAACTTTCTTGATGCTTTTCTTTCATTTTCTGTAAAACCAAACCTAGTAGAAGCCCACATTTTTCAGAACATCCAAGGCCAGAAAAGAAAAAGAAAGAAAAGAGAAAAAAGCCTAAAGCCTGGTAGCTGCTTTCATTGATGTCAATTCGTAATTGTTTCCATTCATCAATATTTGACATGATAATTTGAGTTTTTTGCTAAATATTATAATCATTTTTTTATGCTTTCACATCTCTAGGGGACCCTACTTGCCCAATACAGAGGTGACAGGCATATTAGAAGGATCGTTATAGTTGGTCCTTCCTTGACATGTTTCGAAGGGAGGAAATTTCTTGATTTGGTTATTGTACAGGGTCATGGTAGTCACTTTCTAGAGGGAGAAAAAAATATAGTATTCAAATGAGAGAAATGCTATGTGGGTTTTGGGCTCTAGGATATTTGGTTTGGGTGAGGGTGGCGCACTACAATAAAGATCAGGGTTTGAATCCCATCTTATAACCCCTAAAGAGAACTACAAGTTGGATACATATAGATAATAAGGTATATGGTTTTATAGGGCTGCAATCCTATCAAGTAAATCCTCATAACTCATGAAAAGTTGCAATTCAAGTATTTAAAACCTTTAAATCAATCTTCTCGGCTTGAATATTATGGTTATGAAAAAAAATTTGGATTTCAAATTATAAAAAATAGTATATATTGAAACAAATCTTCTAGACTGTCCATTTTGTGTCCTAAAAATAAGTGTTCATAGATCAGTAAGATCTGTGCGATTTTTGGAGTTTTAAATTTTATTTTTGGTGTTGGAAATTGATTTGAGGTGCTTTCTAGAATGAGGATTTGAGGTGAGGTTTTATTTTATTTTCATAGAGCCTAGGCCTTATAGAAACTTCATCTTATAGATAAAGAGAACTAGATGTTGTTTAAAAACGCTTATAGGTGAAAATGAATAGTGTTTGCTACCGTTAAGGACTTGTTATGTATGTGGCGGTTTATTGAACGGAGCTGCAACGGATAGCGTGTGGTCCGTAGTAATTTTTGTGGATTTTTCGATTATCACGGACATAGCATGTCTATGATGGCGGTCGAAAAATCCTCGCCGCCCAAAAAAAACGGACGGCGATGGCTCAATGGGTGAGATCATTGTAGCATCTTGCCCATAGGAATTCCGTAAATGCTTATATATACATTATACTATGATACAATCATTGTATGAAATCATTGACCAAATAGGTTGCTCTTATGAAGTATTTTCTTAATCTATTTACCATTCATTGGACATTCATTACACCTGCTTTGTAAACGAAAATTTTCAAGCAAGTACATTTTTTGTTATTTCGAGATCAAGATATAAGAAACTAGTGCCATTTTCATTTGTGATTAAAAAACAATTAATGTTCTATGTGCGTGATGTTACCCTTCCTGTGGATAAATCATTTTTTACTATAGTTAATAAATGTTTTTTTTTTTATCAAGACGTTCTACTTTACTTTTAATTAATTACCTAAAAATATCATAGAAGAAAAAGTCACTATATTTTGGGACAAAGATATCAAGTATCCAAAAATGCTGAGTAGATTAAGGAAATAATCTATGAGTAGATTAAGGAAATAATCTGTGTAAGTTAAGAGTATCTTAGCAAAACCTGCACATACACATAACACACAAACATAGGGAACGTATACTATGAAACAATTTATCTTTGTTATGAGGAGGTCACACTTATTTTTTGATCATTGGATGTTAAATTGGATGGTTGGGGTGTATCATGAAGTTCAAATTTTTTTTTGGGGACTTTGAATTTTAATAGTTTTTCTACAGCTTTGATTGATCTAAAATTTTGTGGGTGTGTGTACTTTAGTGAGGTGCACTTAAATAAAATATAAAAAAACAATCCAGATGATAAAAATGACCAAATTATAAAACTCAATTCTAAACGAAAATTTATGGTTCGTGTGTTCCATGTGGGTGCACATGTATGAAATATATAAGAAATAATTCGAACAAAATAAAACGATCAAAACACCCAAAAAATATTTTAGGGGAATTTTGATTATTTTAAATTTTAAAATATTTATTTTACATTTTTTTTGAGGTGCATTTATCTGATTACCATATATATAAAGAAAGATAAATTTCAAATACTTGGACAAGTTCTCAACGTTATGATTGCCAGCTTTGTAGGTGAAAATATTTGTTCGTTTAGAAATGGGTTTGTATAGAGCCTAGGCTCTAAACAATCAAATTAGAGCCTACCTTCAAATTGTATAAAAAAATATGGTTTTAATATTGAAAATCTTTGTGAAAGCCTTAAAACATATTTTCATCTTTTTTTATAAAGTTTAAAGCTTAAAAAATAGTGTAAATCGACAGAATTTGAAAAATTTGAAAATTGACGGTCCAAAAATGCGTTACAAGATACACTATTTTCAAAATGTGAAATCTATTCTTTTCTCATACCCATGCATCTTGATGTTGAGATGATCAATTTGAGGATATTTGAGCATCAAAATAACATCTTCTAATGAAAATTTTTAGGTAGGCTCGAATTTGATTGTTTAGAGCCTCGGCTCGGCTCTATATAAACTTTTTCCTTTAGAAATATTGGCCTTATCTTCATCTTTTCTTTTTTTATTTTTCAATATCAAATCAAGATGAAATTTGGAGTGTCTGTGCCTCATTTGGACACCAATAAAAACAAAGAAAAAATTTCAAAAAATAAAATAACCAAAACAACACTAAAAAAAAATTAAGGATTAAGGTTTTGAAGGAACTATGCATGGTATTGAATAGGGTGCCACTGAATACACCAGCTCTATTTAACATTTGATATTGGTGCATAAGGATGTGTTTGTAAAGTCGAAACAAGTTTTCCTAGTGGCATATCATATGAGAAGCTTCATTGACTAATAGGGTAGATAAAAAAAAAAAACAGTCGCAGCAGCAACACAAGGTGAATATGCAACAATAATTCAAGGGCACATACCTAGACAGAAACTAAGTTCCACTCATAACCCATGTAACCCGCTCCACCAAGAAAAAGTGCATGACAATAAAGTCATAAGGACCTGTTTTGTATAACCATTCATCAAGAGATGCCTTTCACTAAAAATGCAAACTTATGCTGCAAAAGTGGGAATAATGACAACAAAATAATGTTTTTCCATAAAGTAGAGAGTTTTAACCATTTTAGTTTCTTTGAAACAATTTTTTTATGGTATTTGCATATGCATGAGGATGACAACTATGGATGCCTAAAACTTTGGCTTTAAATGATGTATAGAAAAATAAAATAAGGTTGAGATAATCTGACTTGTTGTCAACCATCTTGTTGCAACATACAACCACATTATTAGTCCTTTTTATGTGATCTAGACAAGTCTAATTTATTAGGATTATCGTGGATGAGCAATGATTTCAAGATTTCGTTCATTTAACAAATCTCACTTTTTTTTTTTTTGGCAAATGTTCAAAACTTTTATTGACGACTAATTAAAAGAGATTACATCAGAGGAGATCAAAAGCGAAGGCAACGAAGCACCTCCCTTAGCCAAAGAGTCAGCTAGTGAGTTTGCTTCTCGGTAAACATGGGAGAAGGAAAACGAAAATGGTTCGACTAGATCCATGATTTGCAACCAAAGAGAACGGAGCTCCCATGGAACCCGCTATTCTTTTTTGCACTACTTAATCACATTCAAAGAATCCCCAACCCAAACATTTGTTCTCAAATTCTTCTCAAACAAAATTTTCACCCACACAAAAGAGCAGTTAATTCAACATAATTTGTTGTTTTGACCCCAATCAAACCAACAAAGGAGAGAATCATAGAACCCAAGGAATCACACACTGTACCACCAATTCTAATAATACCTGGGTTTCTCAGAGAACTCCCATCAAAGCTTAATACATCCATCAGAAGGTGCAATCCAAAAACATTGTGGTCTACTATGAGCACACCCAAGGAGAAAGAGGCTGCTAAGGTTTAACACCACATCAACTTTTGGAATCCCTCACCCTTCTTTTGTAATAGACAACCATAACCAAATCGAGCGCTTGATGTTGGTTAAAAGTTTCTCAAAGGGTAGATAATTACCTTCAAAGGTTCGTTTATTCCTCTCTTTCCAGGTTTCCCAAAGGATGACACCTTTAGAGATTTTTCAAATTGATTTACTTATCGCAGGCAAATAAGCGATAGAGAAATATTCCAAGAATTTGTGTACCCGTTCTTTCTAGAGCATCACTAACTGTCAAATTGGGCTGGGTAACCAATCCATAAATGTCAGGAAATGCTACTTTCGAATGGTAATCCCCTATCCATTTATGGTGCCATAAAATTACTTGATTGCCACAACCAATATTCCACCTTGAATATCCCGAAACAATCGGCCTACATCTGTAGATAGCCTTCCAAACCTGTGACACCTCCCTCCCATGTCCATTACCCAACCACATTCGGAATCTATCTATCCCATATTTAGCCAAAAATACTTTAAACCAAAGATGGTTTTTGAACTGTAAACTTCGCCATTACCATTTACATAAAAGTGCCTAGTTAAACACCCTTATCCTTCTTATACCCAAACCTCTTTTATTCGGCGTACAAACTCTATCCTACCTCAGCAAGTGAAACTTCTTCACATCAATACTAGAACCCCACAGGAAGTCCCGCATCATTTTCTCTAATTTTCGTGCATCCGAAGCAGACATATTTATCAGAGACATTTGATAGACTGGGAGATTGGCTAGATAGGATCTCAACAAAGTGACCTTTCCACCAAACGAGAGGTATTTGTGCTTCCAAAGATCCAATTTAATTTGAACTCTTTCAAGCACAATATCCCATACTGCAATAAAAAGTCTCAAATCCGATACAGGAAGGCCAAGATAAGTAATAGGAAAGGTTCCTACCTTACAACCTATCAAATTTGCTAACTCCTCTGTCACTTCCTCAGAACAATTAATCCCAACCATGGAAGACTTATGGAAATTAACTTTAAGTCCCAAAGTAACTTTCACAAATTTCCAAGAGTCTGACAATATTTAAAACTTGTGATGACTCCGCCTCACAGAAAATAAGGGTATCAACAATATATTGAAGATGAGAGATTTGAATATCAGAGTTAGAAATCTGAA